ACGTATATTACATTGAATTCTCAGCACCGGCCGAGATAAAGATACGTGCGAAAGAAGAGAGTAAACAGGAACGCTACAGAGAGCTCATGGAGGTCATGAGAAATGTCTATCACGAATACACAGCGCACGTGATAGTCCTGGTGAGTGGCGCCATCGGAGGGATGAGGGACCGCTTTCTGACAGAGCTTCGAACAATACCAGCCTGCCATAGTCAGGCTGAGATTCTCGCGGCTCGTATGCAAAAAGCGGTCATCCTTGGTTCTCTCCGAATCCTGAGACGACTGTAAATAATGACTGAACGGCTGCAGCCCCGGCTCACCCTCAAACCTGAGGGAGTAGGGTGCCTGCAGGATAATCCCGTCTGGTCAGGCCCCAGGTGGGTCGAAGCCCTGGGATCCCTGGTCAGATACATTTGACGAATCGCAAGTTGATAATAATAACAATGATATACATATATACATATATACATTGTGACATTATTTTTCGATAACGTCCCATTGTCAGCTCTAGAATTGCTTATTAAATATTTAAGGCTGATAATAGCCCATTTAGAGTGTTCTATGAGGATTTATAAAGAAAATCTATTTGCTTAAAGCTCATTTGAGCAGTTACCTTGACTTCTATAATCGAATCATGCCTATTTTCACATGTTTCATTCATCATAATTATTTTCTGTACGCCAAAATACTTAATGGCTTAATTATATTATTGTTTCATTTAAATTTATAAGTCATAAGAGTTATTTTCAATTGATTTGTAGAGGGTAATTATTATTTATCAAGTTATTAATTATTATTTCATGCAAACCAAGGCTTAGGGATTTATTTAGTATTTAAAATTAGTTTGTAATCTCAATAACACAAAAAGAAGCAGAGTTAAAATCAGCAAGTAAAGTTATCAAGAAATATGGACCGTTGTGGGGAGAGTTGGGAGGCTGTAGTGGAGAAGAAGACCAAACGAACGAGTCACCCTACAGTTTTCCCATGCTGGGAGACGTTCCAGCCCTGAGGGTTGTAGTCACGGGGCTGTCGCCAGTGAAATGGGACTCCAAGGAGAAGATGGAAGTGTAGATGTGGTCTTAGGATTAAGTTGTTGAGTCTAGAAGATAAGTTTTTGAGTTTAGAATTAAGTTTTTAGTGCACCTTAGAATTAAGTGACCCCTCCACATGAAAATCTGGGAGAAGTCACGTAAAGATAACCACCAATAAGAAATGTGTCTCGATAATTTGAAAAGAATTAAACCCTGGAAGGGAAAAGAAGAACAAAGGTTAAGAATTTTAAATTGAGATTTTTGCAAGTGAGTCGAGTGAAAAGCCGAGTTTGAAGGAGTCGAGAGATGGCCAAGCTCCGAGTCAGTCGAGGGCAAGCCACAGAAGAAGGTAGTCAAGATCAAGCCAAGACTGGAGTTTGAGAAGATGAAGGTCCAGTGAAGGTTCAGTCAGCAAGCTGGAACACAGGAGAGGTACTGCTCCTGTGAAAGGAGGTCCAGAACAACTAGGACCAGGTTCAGTAAAACTATTAACATCTAGAGCTTAGCTGAAACTGTAAGTTATTGAGAAGGAATTTGTAATGGGTTAATAGGTAAATTTGTAGTTAGTAAAAATTATTTTTGTTGAATTAAAGAAAATCCGTGAGGCTTGGTTTGCTCTCGTACTCGTCAGTTTAAGCTTAATTGCAGATTTTGATAAAGAAGATATGATTTAGTTTAATGGATTCGATTTAAAGGTTTGTTTATTGTGGAAAATTAAAATATTGCGTTTGTGAGTTTAGAATTTTGAGTTACGATGTATTGAGAAACATTTTGTTAAGAAATATTCTTTAGTTAGTATGTAAGGTTTATTTGAGCTCCAGAATTGTAACAAGTCAGAGTTCTAGTTGATTCATTTTGAAGATTGTGATAGCGTAACTGGTTATTTGATATAGAAATTTGTGATGATGTTTTGAGTTCTAGTAATTGTTAAAGATACCTAATTGAAAAAATTATTCGGATAAATTTGAGAGTTAACAGAATATGTTGAACTTGTCAACAATCGGAGAAAAAAAGTCCTCATGGGTTTGTGCGCTCGCGAGAAGAAAAAAATCGTGGTAGGAGGTGTACAAATCGGTCGTAGGGACAGCCTATAAGCATTGTTGTAACGCATACTCTCACGCGGTTGGCTCTATCTGTTTCACGCGACTCTCATTTGATTATATATCTGCAATTATAGGTCCGTAAAATCGCAAAGTACTAATAACTAATTAATTTTTTTTTATGAAACTATCGATTTTAAACGTTATCAATTTTGATTCTTGTTAATTGGAGCTATAGTTTTAATTATTTTGAATATTAATATATACATTTTTGTTTATTCCATAAGTTCATCCTTCTATTATCAACATTCTACTCATCGGCAAAAATAATATGCATGCGCGGAGAAAATAATCAGAACTTGATTATTTCACAAATCAAGTAAAAATATTATGGATGATACTATAATTTGCGTTAAATTTTTGGTTGATTCTATAAGACTATTTTTTATCCCATGTAATAAATAGTGTTAGGATTATTAAATTTAAAAAAGCCAGTCTGGGTGCGACCCGAAAGGTCCATACGACGAACTTTCCAGCGGAAAGAATGATAAAATTAAGCTAGTTTACCATTTTTTCCAGTTGTTTGATTCTGCATAAAAAATGGCTGGACCGATTTTGCTCAAGATCTAATAAGGTCTGAATTACATAATTATGGATTGAATAAAACTGGTCCCATGTCAATATCATCATTTGTTCTCGAGATACACGAGACGAAAATTAAATCCGAACATACATACATACGTCCATGTGCACACACTCTCAACCCTTCGGAACATACATCTCCCATACTACAGTCATTACTGTCGTGATGAGAGAAAATCTCACGCCTTCTGCGCAAGCGTCGAGAGCGAAATTTGAAATCTACTCAAATAATTTAAGATTATATATCAAGTAAAATAGGCTGCGTGCTTTTTTACCTACGGACAAAACCCCCGTGACAGAATACCCTCGACAAAATCTCCGTAAATCGAAATCCCCTCCCCAAAATACCCGTGCAAAAATTACCCTTATTACAAATTTACCCTTCATCAAAAATATCCTTATCTTAACTTAAAGCCACGGATTGGGATATTTTATAAGTCACTTGTAGACTATTCTACAAAATTTTGTGAAAATTGACAATTGGTTCTGCCCAAAAGCCATGAATTGGGATATGCTATAAGTCACTTGAGGTATGCTATAATACTATATAATAATGAGATATGGGATAATCAACCAACAACAAATAGAAAACGATTTTTTTTCACATTACAAACATTTCAATAACGTTTACTACAACCAACAGTGATAAGAATATTGCAAAAAATAAAAAATTCTAGTTCAAAATGTATTGATATGTAATGATTCCTGATCAACATACATCACAGAAATGTTTAGTTAATGTCTCACAAAATCATATTTTCTACAAATACCAAAGAATTATTTCAAATTTGTCACAAAAGAAAATGTAATTTTCAACATAGCGTAAAAAACGATGTACATTACATAGATAAAACAAACTCAATATTTTAAATACTTTTAATCATACTGTAACGAAGTTACATTTTTAAGGCCGATATTATAGAAAATTAATTGGTCTGATGAATCGATAATCAGTAAAATCATTTTATCGACCCATGAGAAATAGCGCGAAATTTAAATTATCGGCGAAGCCTATTAATACCATGTATTAGAGAGAGAGGGTCATAAGAAACGTAATAGATCTGAGAGAGAGAGTTATTGTGATGATCTTGTTGCCATGACGACTTCCCCACGCAACCCACCACAATAGTGGTGGGGGATAGCAAAGTGGGCGGAGTCAAACAGTATAAAAGAGCTGGATTTTGCGGAGATCGTCACTTCACCTGTCTCCGAGGTACTAGACCAACGAGACCGACGAGAGTAGTAGCTCACGTCGTACAATACAGAGTTGTAGCTCTGGCTAAAGGGTTGTAGCCTTTTAGTTGCCCCGGAGAGTAGAAGCTTTCCGAAAATAGGAATTGGAGGGTTGAAGCCTTCCAGCCAAGAGTTGGTGCTCTTGGTTTTAGCTAGTGATCGAGAGTTGGAGCTCACGATCTTGAACCGTGTAGGAGTCGAAGCTCCTCGCTGACGAGTTGTAGCTCGTCAGCTATTCAGGCAAGGTTGTAGCCTTCCCTCGAAGAGTTGTTAGCTCTTCGAGTATCCCGGACGAGTTGTAGCTCGTTCTCACTTAGATAGGGTTCTAGAGTTAGAAGGTGAAGAGTCGTAGCTCACACCTATACCCCCTAGAAGAGTTGGAGCTCTTCGTCGACGAGTTGTAGCTCGTCGATTATTCAGGCAAGGTTGTAGCCTTCCCTCGAAGAGTTGTTAGCTCTTCGAGTATCCCGGTCTGGGTTGTAGCCCGACCAACGAGAGATTAGGCCACGGGGTAGACACTTCTGGGTGGGATTTTAAGATAGCAACTCTCTCTCTCTCTCGAGTATAACGGCACCTAAGTGAAAGTTTACTTTGTAAAACTGTACAATTGGAAATCTAGAATAGAATACATATATGTTGTAAATAGTTTATATAATAAAGTTGAAATTGGATTTTAATTGGTGTCTAGAGAATTTACTTTGTAACGCATCCGCCATAGAATCCTGGGCCATAGAATTTAGATAAATTGTTAAATTGGGGCGGGAATTTTCTTGGGGACTCGCCTTGAGAAAATTTAGGTGTTACAATACGAAAATAAACCCATTGAATAAATGTCACATTAGTTATGAAAATTCTCAGTAATTGTGTCAATAACAATAAAAACTAGAGTTAATTTACGTTTGATAATTAAATTATAATTATATATTATGGTATTTCCTTTAAATAAATTCGATTGAACTATATTACGTTTTTTTTAATAAGAATGGAAATAAAATTTAAATTTTTTCCAAACAACTTAACGATTTTCTTCTTTATAATTTAATATAATCCTTTTTTTCAACATTAAATAATGGTACATTTCCATAATACTGTAGTATTCCTTAAACAAATCGAAATTTTATCTTATTAATTTTATCTAATCTATTAACATTTTTCTTGCGCTCAAAAGTTCGTGTATGATGCTAAATACGAAGCACATTCGCTATATTTTTCAAATATTGCAACTTGCATTCATTATCATAGTGTTCGACAATATTTTTCAATCGTGTGTTATAATCACAAAAGTCTTTCCGACATTTCGGAGGAGCTAGACCAGTATTTCGTTTATTTATTTTCAAATCAACAATAGCGTGTTCAGCCTTTAAAGCCGAAATAAATTTAACAATATCGGCATGCTTGGTTCTTACAAGCGCATTAAAAGATCGATGCCACTCTTCTACTCCGTTATTCGAACGCATATCACCCGCTAACACGCGTTCATAACAATTCCACATATTAATTGCGAACAATGGATTAGAACGTGTTTTCTGATTGCGTTTCAATGATCCGAGCCACGTTGACTCATAATAATCTAATAACTTTCCAAGCATATCATTATTTTCAACAAAAAATTGGCCATTAATAAGATCATCATAAGCAGCGTATACATCATTGGGTGGTACAAACGCCAAACTCATCAACATACGGATATTTTGCGCAACTCTGATACAATTATTGTACGATGACTGTAAACCATACTCTTGTATGTGACGCCACACACACTGTAAATAATGAAAGAGACATCCGCTAACCAAAATTCCAGGAAATACAATTTAAAAAGCATTTATATAAGCTAGTTCAAAGTCAGTTAACATACATCGTAATCGATTTTCATTAGATAAATGTTCTTTTAGTACACTTAATATTTTTACGTAGATCTTCTCAGTTTTATCTGGTGCCAAAACATAAACAAGCGGTGTAGTACGTCCATCAACAACACCATGTATTGTATACAACTGTTTAAATAACAAAGGTACAGAGTTGAAAGTACCATCCCCACACCACATTTCACACTGTGATAGTAAATCGGAATTAGCAGCTGTAGAGTAGATCAAAAAACGCGATTTATTCCCACCATTATCATGGAGCAGAAAAATCTCATTATTTTTGGTTACTTTTAATTCTTCTGGAATCACCAAATCGCTTCGAGATGTAGATTTTACATGCATTTTATTCACCTGTCGAACACGATGGATTGTATGCTGCAACGATGAAATTTTTTCCAACAACAGGAGATTTTGCTGCTTGAATTGTTTTAGCAATAACGCTCAACGGTGCTGAATCACTATTGCCCGCATGACATTTTAATTTCGCACGTAAAATTTTTGCTTTAACCTCCGCAGCATCAGCTGCATGCTCATGTTTCGGCACTGATCTAACAACTTTACCTGAAACAATGTATGCTGATAATATACATATAAAATCAAGACCATTTCATCCAATATTCATTATATTTACGTACCTTCAACTTCATCAGAATTGGTATGAAGAATTTCTGAGCAAGGCATCCTACTATTGTGCGAAACACAACGCCATGTGACACTTCCGTTATTATAACTTTTGAGCGAATACAAATGTCCCTCAAACAATAACAATTTCTTTCCTTTTTGGGAAGTTACAAATTTCAGCGTCATGAAACTAAAAAAAGCAGCTAGAAATTGCAGAAAAATATTCCCTTTGTACTTGCTTTACACACAATACAAGTCTCACTAATGTACAACAAAATATACACTACTCCATTCTTCATCGATATTCGATACACCTTGTTACGGCATGATCGCGAATTAACAGCAGTAATGTCGCGAATTTGAAGATAATTTACCGACAGACTATTTCCGTAATCAATTCAGGTACTTCTACAGCTGACAAATATTTTTAATGGCGGGAATTTTATCTATCGGTTACTTTCAACACGGGTATTATAACAGAGGTATTTTTGATTGCGGGAGTTTCGCTGAGGGTTTTTTGTCTACGGGTAATAACACGCGTTACCAGTAAAATACAATATCAAATATCACTTTCTTTTTCATGATATATTAAATATGACGATTATTAAACTAAAGAATATTTTATTTCGGATGACTACACAATAAATGAAAAATAATGAATTCAAACAAATAATTTATTAAAGTTGAACATGAGAAATTAAAACTACATATTTTGAACATATTTGTGATGATTTGACTGCAACTATTGCACGTATTTGAAACTTGCACTTGACCTTAATTAACTTATTTCAATTAAAAATTATTTTACTTATTAATATTTAACAAGAATTATTTTTTCCTCCAAATTAACGTCACAGAATCACTATTATTTATAATAATATTATTCTTATGGTCAAGATAATTAACATATTAAATTACATCAATTCAGTTGAATAATAAAATATTACAAAACATTGTAACAATGTTTAAGTAAGAACGATATAATTTCACCACTAACTTACTACTATTTTTGGCAAAAAGGACAAGATTAATTAGTAATACTGTCACATTCAATTATAAGTAATTAGTAATTAGAGCATTACACGAGGTACAACTTTTAATTGTATAACTATTTGCCCTACGCGGACATTGATAACACAATCCACGCTCTGAAAGCTGAGTATTCTTGGGTGGCTTAATTTTTCCAGTTTTTAAAATAATTGATCTCAGTTCTAAGGATAGAGTAGGTAATTCAAGACGATTAGTTAATTGCGGATGAACTAACTGAGAGTAAAGCTGTTTCAAGTATTCTCGCCGAGCTACTTTTGTGCCAGTATTTTCATCATAAATAATTTTTGAATTTATTCCAGCAATCTTGAGAAACGCATAAAAAATCACCATTGCCCAGCGTCGTGTATCTCGACCAACATCATACTCTCCTTGCAGTTGATCTACAACATCGACACCAGTTTTTGTTTGGTTTTAAAAAGTTACTATTTCTGGTTTCAGTTTGTCCCCAGTATCTTCATCAATTTTAGCAGATTTGTGTAGAGTAGAGTGCATAAGAACATTCTTAGATTCTTTTGGGACATATGACACTACCCTAGTAAAAAAATAAATACTGATTCTTATAAGAATGTTATAAGATTCATATGTGAATCCTATATGAAATTGGCCGTATATGAATCGTATAAGAATCATATATGAAAATTATAAAATTTTTGCATGAACAATTTTTCAAGCTGAATTTCATCGGATGATTACACAGTTAATAATAAATTTTACTGAATATTATTTAAACATATTAGAAGCTGTTAGAACTTATGTTTTATATCATTTATATTAAAGTTTTTTTATGTACAACTTTTTCTAATATTGATTTCTAATATTTTCAACTAAACAGACATAATTTTTTGTGCGAAAGATTTTTCCATTAATATTTTGCACCTGCTCAGCCTGGTAACGCTGAGTTTCACGAACACAAATTAAATATTCTGACAAGTCTATATAATTTTGTTGATAACATTAAGAATGATATGAATTATCAGAAACTGGTACTAATTCACGAATGACAACATATGTATCGTTATTAATTAGAACAAAGAATTGAATAATACCAAATAATACTTGATTATTCCAAGCAATACAAGAATTACATTTTTTTTTCTCACGATAATATTTTTCTGAAGTATATACTTTAGATTTGATCTTTACTCGAACATAAATACCCAATATCTGATTTTCTAATTCATCTAAAGGTATTGAAATTTCAGTATGGAGCGCAAAAAACATTGATTGTGTTAAATTAATATTTTCCATACGAAAGGATAATACAACTGAATCATCTAATTTATCAGTAGAATTTTCTTTTGAAATTTTATGGTCAAGAATTTTTTTAGCACTATAAAAATTTAGTTTGTTCACAATTTCCATGTTTATTTTGTTTAGTCCAGTCGAACAAATTGTGTTAAATGTGTAAGTTGATGTATATTATAAGTACATTTGTTTAGGCCATATAAGTGCATAAAATCTTTACTAAACATTGTTATCATATGATCAGCTGTATCTAATTCATCAAGTGAAATAGTTTTCTTCAATAATATATAAATAGCTCTCACTAAAAGTAAATAATGTTTAAAATATCGTTGAGGTAATTTTCCTTTTAGAATAACTGGAAAACAATATAAATTTATATTTAAAATTTCAGAGGCTTTGAAGAATGTTTTATATTTAAGGGTCCGAATATCACGATTGATATTATCAGGTACATGAAGATTACGAAGTTCTTTGTTAATTTCTTTACAAGTTGATTTGTCAATATAATATTCAGTATCTTCTCTTCGGAACTAGCATTTCATGAGAGTTTTAAAAACTCCTGTTACACCATGCATATATTCTGGAACAAATCCTGTTGATAGATTAAAATATGGAATAAGTGCAGCAATCGATACACCTTTGATTCCTTTATAATGCTTGATGCCTCTTCTTATAGCTATTTGTGAATACGATAAAATACTTGCATCTGTTCGTGATCGATATTTTCTATGGAGATTGAAAACATGATTATGTCCAGAACCAATACGGCTAATCACTCCAGGATTTTCACAGTAAGGACAACTATAGTAACCTGAATGCTGCATCAAATTTAATACATCTGCTTTTGCTGGAACATCTAAGTTTGCTACAGGAGCTATTACTCGACTATGTATCATACATTTTGTTGGATGTCTCCAATCAAATCCATCTTCAAATAATGATTGCAAAGTGTAAGCAAATGATTTTAGAAATTCAGAAGACTGCGATTTTTTACTTCCACAATATAAACCAGCAACAAGCTGAAACGGTCGTCTTTGTGCTAGAAGGATATTAAGTATTTGGAGTTGGATTGGCCATAATTGTGTTGTACTACTCTTTTTAACAGGAGCACCATCAACGTTCCAAATAAAAATTATGTCATAATCTGATAGTAGTATTTCTTGTTTCAGTTTTTCATAACTTTCACCAGAATATATATCTGTTAAAATATTATCTTTTTCTTCATCTATTATTCCATTCTGTTGTTCTATCAAACTATAAAGGTTTTGTTCCTCAAAATAATTAATTAAAATTAAACGAATATTATTTTCAACGAAAAATCCATTAATATTAGATCTATTACATTTAGGACATGAAATTACGTTAACATCAGAAATTGTACCACAATAGGATCCACAGTCTTCACAAAATCTGTTTTTGTGAACAGGATTATTGAAATGTGGAATATTTTCACCTAGAATTTTTCTTAAAAAATATATCGTGTTGGGAATTTTGTTGGGTTGAGGTAGTGCATCATTGAATAAGTGTAGAATTTGTTCAATACTTTGATTCGTCATCGAATTTGTTAAAGCTATTGTTAGCAATCGGTAAACAAATTCTGCATTTTTCATTTGACATTGCGGATAAAGTGGACAATCAAACCATGAAATTTCTTCTTTATCGTTCTTTTCTTCACAATTTGAAAATTCATTTTCAAATCCCTCATTATTCGTTGATGAATTGTTATCAAAAATTAAAGATTCTTCACTCAAATTTGATAGTGAATCATCATCATTTTCTCCAATTAATTGGGTTTCATTTTCAACAATTATTCGTTCGTTTTCCTGCTCCCATCGCCTTCTTGTTGATCGAGGAACACCTGACTACGATATAACATAATTAATTTTTATATCTTTTTCATATGAAAAGTAAACTTACATCAACGTTTTTGAAATACTGTCGATATTGTCTTTTCATTCTTATTATTATTTGTATTACCATATACTTATTTCAGAGGAATTACTTTTGAAAGTAACTTTGATATTAAAGAAAAAAAATGAACACAAATGTTTTTTAACATTGACTATCTTCACATTGCGTCCATAGTAACTGTAACTAACATTATTCTTGTCACTTTTAGAAGTGCTGAAAGCCTTTAAATTAAACTTATAAAATGCATTTTCTCGTGGAAGGAAAAGATACATGTATTTATACTATTGAAATAACATCCATCTGTAAAATTTATACAAAATTAGATGAAGGCCATGAGATTGATTTTCACTGGCCAAGTTATAATGAAATGACAACTATTTCTGGAAAATTTTTATATCTTTCAGGTAAATAAATCAATCATAAAATAACTAGTAATGATGCATAGAAACAGTATGTGAAAAAATGCTTGATAGAACGACTTAATCAAAAAGGGTCTAATAATTGAATAATCAACTATTGCATGCATAAAATAAATAACAAATAATATCATTGTATATTTGATATATATAAAAAATATAATATAATATAAAATAAATAAAAAATCATATAATTGTATATATAAAATATATAGAAAAAATAATTTCAGAATCTTTGGATCCGCACAAAACAGGCATCTTGGAATGCCTGTAAAAACTGGCGCCAAGTCCACATTCAAGTAAAATTAGTATAAATGGAAAAAAGGTAGGATCAAAAAAACATGTGAAATCAAGTAAAACGCCAAGTTAGCTGCGTCTTTTTTCATAATTTTTTCGAACTAGCAATGTACTATTGACTTATAAAATTTCAGTTAATTTTGAAGTACAAAAAAAAAATCTTCAAAACCAAAAAACTATGGAACTTGGCCCAATTTTGTCTTTAAAGTCTGCCCAATTCAGTTTCAAATGTTCTTATGTATGAACTATAATATATGGAACTGTTGAAAGAATTTAAAAAAAAAATTTCCCGCTGAAAGATCTCAAATTGAATAAATCCTGTTTTCAATTGTTTATAACAAATTTAATTGTT